CCCCAAAACCCCAAAACCCCAAAACCCCAAAACCCCAGGGTGATTGGTGATGATTGAGAATTGGATTTGGTTAGGTAGCCTCTTAAGTATTCTCATAGGGGTCTTCTCTGTCATAATACTCGTACTCATCTTCTATCTCTCCTATCTTGGAATCGTATCTGAAGTGCTCCATGAGAATAGAGATGGAGAGTTCTCTGGTGTTGTAGTTCGAGTCATGGACGTACCTCTCCAGTATCTCCTCACCGCCTTGTTCTCTGAAGAATTGGATGTAATCCAGCTTTATCTGTTCTACTGCAAAATCTAGGATCTCCCTGACTCATTTCAAGCACAGATATGTTATGGCTGGTGTCGAAGAATTAGATTCAAGGATCTTGGTTAATGAACCGAAGTTAGACTTTAACCCTCAAAGAATCGGAACTTTAAATGATGAAGCTTTACAAGTGATGAAATTTATAACGTCTGGATCATCGAATTCTAGCTTTGAGAAGACATTTCTGAATAATTCTACAGAAGCTCAGACTACATTATGATCTTCATATTCTTCAAAGGTCTGAACATGCATTAAAGGAGATAAGAGAAGCATTGATGCAGCTCCTCTCACCTTGCTGGCAGCATTTTGAAAAATGTTCAATATTGCGCTCTCAATCATATAATATCCATGTGGATCTTCTCTTCTCTCAATTTCTTGATTCCCATGACTATTTATAATCAGTCTCAATTTCAAATTTCTCTTCTAATCTTTTCTGGAAATCTTCTGTAAATATCATTTCCAATAGATCAAATTCTGTTGAATTAAACATTAACTCATAAAATCAGAGTAGTAGGCGAGTAAGATCTCTATCCTCAAATTCTTGAAACAAGCTCCATATTATTGGGTGCATTTCAAACTCAATGAGTAAGAAGAAGCTTTTGCTGCCATCTAAAAGTCTATTGAGACACTGTAAACATCCTATTGTGCTCTCTTTATTATTCAAAGCCATTAGGTTATTTTCACATCATGATTAACAAGCTATGGTTCTCTGTTGTCAACTCAGGACTAGAGACAGCTGCCAGGCTCCATGAGATATTGTTAACCTTTGTTATTTTTAGCTTGAATCCTTGATTTAGGTATTCACTATAAATGATCACACAAAGTTACTCTAAAAGCCGAATGTAGTCTCTATTGATAATTTCTTCGGCATAGTACCCGTCAATGTAGAGATTAGTCAGACAGATAATCACTGAATCAATAGTGTCTGTGTTTTGTTGGGTATGTAGCACTTCAAATAGGAACTCTAGACAGCAAGGCTCTGTGCTAAATACACTCTGTAAAATTCTTCGGTCGTTAGCCACTGAAGCATTGCAAATAATCTTTCAAATGATGTTGATAACCTCTTCGTTATCAACAATTCTGAAATAAACAGTCAAATGTTCTAGTAAATTTTGGTCAATTATTGCGGAAAAAATTTCAGTGTAATCCTTTTCTGACAGATCTGCTAAATAACTCAACAAACTCAGGTAGAATCTTTCTTCTTGCTCTGGCTTTATAATGTAGATAAAGATCAGCTCAATGATGTCTGGAATAGTTTCAGGGGATATTTCTTGGTTCTTAAACCTCGTATCTAAATCTGCTAAATAGATTTGGTAGTCAGGAACTTTCTCATCTCCAGGTATGGATCTTAAAAGCTGTCTTTTATTTACTAAAAATTTGTTGCCTCTTCTTCTTTCTTAAATGAATCATGAATTGTTCCCGTTGTGGCTATTTATTGAATAGTAACATCCAAGAATCATTAAGTTAATAAGGTTCAAAGTTGATCAACCCAGTCGTGGATATGACTAAGAAGCAGAATAAGCTTATGAGGTTAATAAACACTATCAGTAGGTGCATGTATTGTGTCCTTAAATGCTTACTTTCTTATCAACAGCGATGTTCCAAAACTTCTTGCGCTCTTCCAGTTTACTGTCTTCCATATTTATCAATATTTATGCTAATTTTTGGGGTTTTGGGGTTTTGGGGTTTTGGGG